TTGACTTAAGAATGTGTATGCATACATTGTCAACAACTTGTTTTTAAATTTTAAAATCTTCATTAATTTCAATAACAGGCATGTAAAACATCATGAAGTATCAGTCTTGATCTAACCTCATTCTTCAAAGATTACCTCTTTGTGTACCTACCCAAGCCCTAACGTCAGTTCAGTGGCAGAGAGTGCCTAAAACCAACTTCAGTTGTTGACTCAGGTACATGCTTGTCTCAATTGGGATAACTTAACATCAGTTGTCTGTATTCTGGTAGATCTCTTGCAGAGTGCTCTGTGTGGGTTGTCTTTGAAGACCATTGAAGACCACGAGGTGCAGCTCATGCAGAATGCAGTGGTCCAATTGATAACAGATCCAGACATACAATTCTGATTCGAACCCACTTGCACTGTTGGCCTGTAAGCTTCTGAAACCCAGTTCAGGGTGCTGATTATGATCTTTATAGCTTGGCAAGAAGGGAAAGAACCTTTTGGGTGGAACCCCCACAGAATTATGAATCGTGTCCCTGACAAGTTCCACCTGGTGCATATACTGGTTTTCTTTTTGGCACTGAGTTGGGACTGCGGCCTTCTCTTACACAGCCTATGATAAGGTTTGAATCGGGTCGCGTGTGCACGCGTGTTGCGTACCTGTGTGTTGCTTGTTTCTATGTCTGAATGTATGTAGGAGTCTTATAATGTATTTTTAATGTCTTAATGTTTGCAAACTTCCCAGAGAGCATCCATTATTGGATTGTACAGGAATGGAAGGAACAAATGCATCCACAGAGGCTTTGCTTGGTGTGTCCACTCAAAGTGCAGAGTGTAGGTCCCAGTGGAGAAAGTCTTGGTAGCAGATCCTGGTTGTGGAACACTGCCTAGAAAAGCTCATTAAGACTGAGAAGCACCAATTGGTGAAGTGACCTTTGACACCGAGTAAAGACCTTTACAGACTTCATAACATTTGACACTAGATGTTCATAACTTCACTTATAATGAACTTCGTAACGTGAACATTTTAACAGCTTTTATTACGTCTCTACTGTTTGGATTATGAGATACTCCTTGTGTTGTGGTTTGATGGATTTAAGTTCAAGAAGTTTCTGCCGTGCTACGTCATTGTCTGATTCCTTGATTTTATATTTTAAAACTTTATTTAACATCTACATTGCCCAGATAACCTTAATTATGGGGCAGTTTAGAAATACAGCACATTAGAACACTGAAAACAAATACGACTGATTTTGCAATAATGGCTGCTGGCTTTTGATCACTTTAAAAGGGGATTTTAAAAATTGATGGGCCACAGGTCTTTCAGCATCAGTTCGTTATGATCTTTTCTGTCCCAGCATCAGAGATGTGGTTGTTCAAGCATGTGAGAGCACCTTTGTGGTGGCAGCTTGGCTGGACTTCCCAGCTTGTGCTCCCACTAAGTTCATCTTTTTGCCACCTTCTATATACCTCCTTTTTATGCACATTTGACCAATTATTAATTGGCTTGTTTTTTATACTCCATGAATCTTCCATGAAATACTAGTTGCTATCTCTTTCTCCCCCTTTTTTCCTTTTTAATGCTTTGCCTGTTGATTCTTTTTACTGTTTCTTTAGCTATTTTGAATTTTATGTTGTGCGCCCCCTTGAGCATTGGTTAAGAAACAGAATGGTGCGATAGAAGTGAGAACAGAACGAGGGCTTGTCATGGACAAATTAGGGGAATGGTGGCTGGATGCTTTGTGGAAATGGATTTCAGGGTTAGAAGTGTCTTGGTTTAATCCAGCAAAGCCATTCTTACAGTTTTAGGATTAAAGTGCATCTTGGGATAGGAAATTTCACATTTTTTGGGTGCAGTCTTAAATTGGGGAATTCTGGGAGCTGCAGGGATTCTTTCCCCCTTCAGAACATGTACAGGATCAGGCCTTTAGTATTCCTGCATCTAGAAACTGGCATGATTGCAATCACACTCCGAAGTCTGGAACACACAGCCCTGAAGCTTCTGATGTACAATGCCCGTTGGTGCTGTGGAATTCTGAGAAGCTGCACTGTGAGTGGGTGTTTGTGTTAGTGACTGGACCCTCTGTATGCTAGAGAAAGAAACTTCAGTTGGTGTCTGTTAGGTGGCCCAATTGAAGGACGTTCGAGTAAGCTTTCAATTCAGGTGAGGCAGGTGGTTATGAGACAGGTCTGTCTTGATAGTTGTGGGATGCTTTCCTCAGAGTTTGCCTAGCACGTACCACTTTATTAAATTTTTAGAGCCAAGCAGCACCGTTGTATTCTCCCAAGGTTTGAGATGCAATTTTAATTACACCAACTGTTTTATGATCTTGTGGCTTTTATTCCTTTATTTATATGTTGGTTGATTGTTCTTGCTAACATGATCCTGTTAATTGTTCTTGCTGCCAACTTCTCTGGGGATCATATTAAAGGATGGTATACAGTATTCTTAAAAAATGGATCATATTTTTTTCCTAGAGACACTGTCCTGGGTTTTCCAGTGCTTGAGTGTTTGAATACCATTTTGTCCAATCCATGATTAAAAGTGACACAACTCTAGTCAGCTTGTGTATATGGAATGGGGAGAGGTTCCATCCTACCCTTTGACTCAGGCAGCAAAATATCTCGGGCAGCCCTGGTCTGTAAGTGCAGAATTTTTCTTTCACAAATAGACCAAGTCCCCTTGATCAAGATCCTGGGGCGGTGGTGGGACTTTGTGTGCTGTGGCCCCAGCCTGGGGGAATCGCCCACCCTTCATCCTAAAGAGGAGGCAGGGAAAAGGCATGAGGATAGGATGGTCTTCAGTAATTGTATTCTTTTGTTTGGACAGGTTGCTTGCAGTAGGACCTGTACCTGAGCTGCTGCGTATTCTGTGATTCTATGTTGCTTTACTATCTAAATATAACTGTTCAATTGATGCTGACTTAACAGTTGCACAGTAACCTGTCCCCTAAGGACAATCAAAACGAAGTGCGGCACCTGAGTGTATTAGCAATCCTCACAAGTCTCTCCCCAGGGTTTGCTTTTTGTTTGCCATAGTCATCCTAAGGTCCCAGAATCTGGCAGCTGGGATGTGCCGAATGAAGCTTCTTGTTGGAGTTTCTATGCTAAAGAAGCCCAGGCTTGCATCTATTTTCCAAAGCTTGGATCCAGAATAAATAAGGCAAAGAGGCAGTAGGAAAATCGGCTTACCAGTAGCTGGTAGCATCTGTGAAGCTGGTGGGGCAGTTGGATAAGACCTGCCCAGGACTGTAAGCAGGAGGTTTGTGATTTGACTGGAGAAATGAGCTGCCATCACTAGGTACTTGGCTTAAGCAAGACAACAAATAAGTGAAACCTAACATGGGAAAATGTATTTATCGAAGACAATTCAGCAGGGAACAGATCTGATATCTAAAATAGAGGATAGCATGAATGAATTCATTGAGTCCCAAACCATTCAGCTAATTCAGAGCTAATCCATGTTGGCATTTATTTTTTTAATTTGAGTTTCCTTAAACTTGGAGGTAATGGGTATATACTGCTAAACATGCTGAGGGATATGAGGCAGAACGTTTTCCACTGTTTTTCCATTCCATAAATTAATTAGTAACAAAGAGTGATGCCCAGTTAAAAACAAATGGAAAGCTAGTGAGGTATAGTTAAAAGTGCTGGAATGGGATTTAGGAAATGTGTTCCAGTCCCCACTTAACCATGACATCCACTGAATGACTTTGGGCTAGTCATTGCCTCTCAGACTACCTTACAGGGTTGTTGTGAGGATAGAGAGAATGACATCTTTGTCAGCAGCCTTGGGTTCCTTGCAAGAGGAAAAAAAGGATAGAAATGTGTTGCTGAAGGTACAGAAGCCCCATTTGTTGAATATTACAGGCATCGTGGGATTGTGCAAGATATTTGAAATCTTGAGAACTAGAGACTTAATTGAGCAGGCTAAGTAATTTTTTTTTGTTTAGCAGAGGTGCATAACATGTACTAAATAGCCTAGTGTTGTGCAGCTTCTCTTTTTATGATCTCGCTAGCAGTATGGCCTCTCACTGTTGACTTTAGCACAGCACATGCAGGCATCCGTCCCTCTGTTCATAAGAGACAGGCAAGGAGAATGCCAACATTTTTACTGAGCTCTTGCTTTTCCAAACAAATCTCTGCGAGGTTCTGGCTGGAATATGTGGCCTTCAGTAGGCCGTTGATGTGCTGATCCATGTGTTGGATGTGTGTCTACAGAAAGTACAGTGGTGTGTAGGAGGAGCCACGTGACTTGGTTTGGGGAGAGCACTCTCTGGAAGAGATAACAGCTGCCTGCTTCGGAGGGCTGTATAGTTGTGGTTGTCGACCTTAAAGCAATACAGAGGACAGTGGCTTTGGTACAGTCACTGCTACACTTGTAGTTTGGAGCCATGACTATGGACAACAAGAGGAAGAAATAGGGAATCTCGATGGTCTTGGCAGTTAGATTTTTGTGGGGAGTACACTGAAATACTTGCATTGGTGGGTCTACATAACATACGGATAATCAAGGAACTATGCTTTTGCCCGCAGCTTTGGCATGTAGCTCTCTCCTGTCTCAAATCAGGTGTTATGTCTGTGAGCCCTGCTGATTTACTTGATCTGGTGTTCTGGAAGATTTCCCTGGTGTGCTAAAGCACAGATGGCAGGGTGCTGTTGGCAGTGGCTGATGGGCCAGGAGCAGGCACAATGCAGGGAAGCTGAAGCCGCTGCTTGCATAAGCCGGCACTTAATTAATTTTGCATCTGGGAGAGTTGATGGTGTGTTATAGGTGGGGCACTGCAGATGGTGAGTTAGGGACCAGCATCCTGTGTCCTGACACAGATGGGATGAACTGCAGTGTTTGCAGCGTGCATTCCAGACATGCTGGGGTCTGTCCCTGGGTTCCTGCTTCTTTCCTTTGCTTTTCTATTCAGAGCAGGTTGGCACTACCAGCTTGAATGGAGCACAGAGTGCTGACTGCCTTCCAGGGGCAGAAGTATACAATAAATCATGTATTTTTGTTTTCTTTACAGTTCTTAACATGCTTAGCAATCCCCTGGGGAAAAGCCCTTTGGGTTTCCTGCCGTTGGATCCCATCGGCTCTGAGCTGACAGAGAACCTTCCAGCCCCAACTTTGAGGAGCTCCCGCCTGGACAGTAATCGTTCTCTACTGTATTCACGCTCTAGCAGTCCTTCCGACTCAGATACCAGTGGATTCAGCTCTGGTTCTGACCATCTTTCAGACCTGATTGTAAGTTGTTGGGATTTTTTTGACCTCCTTCCACTGGGGGAATGGTGGGTAGATTGCGGCAGATGGGTTAGACAAACACTGAAGTCTTCTGATTTAACAGAACTTCAGGGAACTGGGCGACTTGTAGACTTCACTCCCTGCCCTCTCATGTTGGCTGAGGAATGGGAGAATGCGCCAGTAATGGAAGCTGGATTTAACTCGCATCTTTTTCCAAGAGCATTGGTTTTTAAGGAGAGAGTAGTGCTTCCACCAGAGTTGTCTAGATTATGTTCATGGAGAAGACCATGGCTGTGATCCTCAGCTGATCACATCTACCTCATCATCCCTTGGATCTGCTAATCACTGATCCCTTAATTTACAGGATGTTTATGTAAGAGACACTCACTCCCTGCTCATTGCAAAGTTAGAATGCATTACAAAGACTGAGGGTTGAACAAGGAGTCTGTTTACTGTGCTGAACTTGAAAGTTATAATAAAATAGCTTCATTGCTGACTCAAGAAAAACAATAAATTGGCAGCAGTTGTGGATTTGGAAGAATGTGAAGAAGCTTGGAAGACTATGAATTTTTATTTCCCTTGTTTCTGACCTTTTAGTGTCTTTTAGATCATATTTTGCAAGGAAACTTTAAACATAAGTAATAGAGGCTTACTTGCATGCTTTTATGTGAGCATTGAAGACTACTGGGAAACCACAATGAGAAAATGAGAATTCTGCTGCTGCTGCTTCGTCCTCCTCTTCATCTTCATTGTCTTATTTATTCCATTTCTATACTTCCTCACGGCCAAAGCTCGCTGGTTCTATCAAGCACACAGATCATATTACGAGGGTTAGGCACTTGGATCCTATTATTTTGGTTCTGTATGACTTATATCATATGCCTTTTAATACCTGAGGCCCAGCCCAATTCATGGTCCTCTTTTAAGCCAGTGAAGCCCTAAATGATTTTGATTACAAATTTTCGGCAAGAAGATTAAAACAAAACACTGCATAGAAAAACTTCAAAATATCAGTCACAAGCAATTTGAATAGAAAGATAAAGTTTATTTTGCATTAACAAGCCTATATAGACAGTCTAATGTAGATGTCCATAAATAAATTCCACGTGCATTTTGACTCTACAGCCTTCTTCAGTGGGACATATGAGGATTAGGTCGACCAGAAAGAACCCAGAAGGCACAAACACACATAGCCATAGCTTTTCTTTCTTTCCTCCTCATATTTGTATGGTCTGGATGCTGTTTTTCTTTTCTTTACTTGGGCTAAGTGGGTTGAGTGTGTAATCTGAAGGTCAGTTGTACCTGTACGACCCTGCCCGGGCATTAAGATCTGTCTAAGAGGGCCTGCTCTTCAGCTCTCCAGCAAGAATCGTCAGGCTGACTGGTACCAAGGACAGGGCTTTCTCAGTGGTGGCCCCACACCTTTGGAACACTCTTCCTAGAGAAATACATAAACAATATGACTTCATTGCAGTTGACTTTATGAAAAAAATGCCATACACTCTTGCTAGTTTGTGTTTTCTGCTTTAAAATCATTAGCAGCTACTGCCATTCCTGGATATCTGAGTTTAACTGTGGTTTCATGCTACAACTTTTCTAATGCTCCTTGAAAAGTGAATAAATAATAAAAGCAAAATGTCTCCATTGTTCAACCCAGAAGGTTGCTCACTTGTGTTTTAATGGAGGGATGCCACTTATTTGTACTTTGACATAAGCTAGAGAGAGGAAACTATTAATCCATTCAGTGGATGCTCAGGCAGGAGAAATGTGCTTTGACACTCAGATTCTCCAGCTGGCACGACTTTCCGGTTGCCTTCTGCCTCAGTGGCTCCCACAAACTGCGTTTCATACCTGTTTCCTGCAGTCAAGCCTTCGCATCTCCCCACCGCTACCGTTCCTGCCTATTGGTAGTATTACCAGGGATTCCTTAAATGGAGCAGGATCCCACCTGGATCAAGATCAAGCTACTTTGGCGGCAGTCACTTCCACCCCAACCAGCATGCCTAAGCAGTGGCCCGGAGCATCCGCATGGCCTTCCTGGAATCTCCCAGACTCCCCAGAGGATCCATTCAGTATTGAAAGGGAAGCAAGACTTCACAAGCAAGCTGCAGGTGAGCCAACGGATGACCTTGTTTTTGAGGATAGGGTGGAGGAGTAGTGGTTTTAACATTAATCTGACCCACCCATTGATCCCACATGCTGCGTAACACATACAGGGAACCTGGGGCAGAAATGGTCTAGAGTTGTAGAATTCACTGCCACCTGAATGCTGATGACACCCAGCTCTCACCTTCCCTTTTCCTCTAAATGTAAGGAAGAAGTTCTGGATCTAAAATGGTGTCTGATGTCAGTAAGGGACTGGATGGGAGCAGGCAAATTGGTGCTGCTAGTAAGTCAAAAGACAGACTTGGGAAGAGGGCTTCAACCTGGCCTGGTAGGATCACGCTCCCCCTGAAGACTGAGGCTTGCTTTTTGCTTCTGTGAGCTTCTCTGCCGATGGTGCCCTTGTGCAGTTGAGGCTAATGGGCCAGCTGTGCTCATTCCCAGAGATAGCTGGTCTGGCCACAGCAAATACTGTCTTGGCTGGATCCTGTCTGAGCTACTCTAGTGCATTCTGTGTAGCACTGCTATTGTAAACTGTTCATAAACTTCTGCTGGTTCAGAATTGCGAAGCCAGCACACAGCTTCCATGTTGCAGCAGCTTTGCTGGCTGCAAGTCTGTTTCCAGGCACAATCCTACTGAACAGCTGCACATGGTTGGGACCAGGCTGTCTGGAAGACCACCTTGTTCTACACAAACCCGCCTGGTTCTTAATTTAAAGAATTAAAGCTCTGTGGGAGAGGCCTCTTTAATAGCACCCCCTTCAGAAGCACGTCGGACAGTGACACCCGAGAGAGCCTTCTCTGGGGTGCTCCCAGGCTATGAAACTCCCTGTTGATAGAGGCTAGGTTTGTTCCCTCTTGGTGGCTCGCTTGGTGGTTGTCAAAGACTGTTTCATTCAAGTAGGTCTCTGCTGCTCAGTGGGTCTGTTGAGTTGGATGTTGTTTTTATTTTGGTGTTGCTGTGTTTTCATTGATTACTGATTTAATCATGTATGACTGCAAGCTGCCTTGAGTGCCATTTTTCTTGGTAGACAGAAAATCGAATGAATGAATGAATATTCTGTTTCCTGCTCCTGGAGAAAGTTTCTCAATCTAGAACTTTTGTCTTCAGCTGTGAATGAGGCCACCTGTACGTGGAGCGGGCAGCTTCCACCAAGAAACTACAAGAATCCAGTCTACTCCTGTAAGGTGTTTTTAGGAGGAGTTCCCTGGGATATCACGGAAGGTGAGGAGCCAGCTAACTCACTTCTTCATGTCTACTGTCAGAGTAATGTTGCCTTTAATGGCAGCCATAAAATAATTCTAAATAAATTTATGGTAATAGTCAAAAAGTTGACTCAATTCTTGAAAAGCTACTCTTGTTTGCTCAGTATCAGTAACAAATATGCAAGCAAATATATCACGTACAGAGTGTACAAGCACTTACACCGTGATACCAAAAAAATTAAATGGATCTAAAAAAGTAGGAAATAGCGCCCCCAGCACTACATTAAAATCCACCAGAAAAGTTACATGTATATACGTACAAAATTATCATAATATGCTTTGGAACATTGGAACATGCCTTTCAGTGAGTCAGGCCATTGGTTCAACTAACCCCAGGATTGTCAGTGTTGACTGACAGCAGTTCTTCAAGATTTCAGTCAGTTATTTCCCTGCCATACCTGAAGAAACCAGGGACCTTTTCCATGCAAAACATGCATTCTGCAACTGAATTGCACCCTCCCCCCAGTGCTGTAACATTTGCAGTCGTTATTTGTTTTTCGGCGCCAGGCGAAGACCTTTTTATTTAAGTGTCATTTTAATTGTTAATATTATTTGCTTATTTTATCTGGCCAGGGCGACTTATTTTATATTGTTATTTCTAGTATTTTAATTTTATGTTGTGAGCCGCCCCGAGGCTTCGGCGAATGGGCGGCATAGAAATGTTTTAATTAATTAATTAACAATTGGCGGTATACATTAATACTTCTAGTTATAACGAGAAAGCACATTTCTGCATTATGTGGAAATGCTGATAATATACAAATTGCACCCTACAGTTTCTAATAACCTCCAAAAGGAGGACTAGGTGGGCTTGCTGTCCAGGTACCGACTCAGTGGTGGAACATACGCTTTGCATGGAGAAGGTCTCTGGTCCAACCTCCAGCATCTCTGGACAGGGCAGCCACAACTGCTGTCTGAAGCCCTGGAGATGCATTGCCAGCCTTTGCCACCAGTGCTGGCTAAACAGACTCGGAGCCTGATGCTCTAAGCCAGCTTTGTGTGTTCCCAGAAGAAAATGCCCAAAGCAGAGGCCCTCCCAGGGCCTGCGTGCCTTGGAGTGGGAAGACAGAGTGGGTGGCTTCTGTTTCTTGCCTCTGACAACGCTTCTTTTCCATGCAGCGGGTCTGATCAGCACTTTCCGTGTGTTTGGCTCGCTGAGGGTGGAGTGGCCTGGTAAGGATAGCAAACATCCCCGCTGCCCTCCCAAAGGTAATATGCCTAAAGGTAATACAGACATGGTAGGAACCCTTTTATCCATGCTACATATAGAGCACTGAGGTCTGCTAGGCTGCATGCTGGTGGCTGGACAGGTGGAGCACCATGAGATGCAGGCCTGCCTTTGGCACACACCTTCTTGCCGTTCACGTAATCTGCTTCCTTGCTTGGGTTGGGGGAACTCCACATGCTGGTGGCCTTCAAGATAAGCACAGGGTGGTGGTGGAGGAGGGGAGAGACCAGAGTTTTGACATTTGGGGTGGGAAACTTGCTGTGGTTCCCAGTCACCTGTGGCAAGGGCATGTAAATTGCCAAGCAAGACTCTGCTTTGACAGACAGCAGAATTTGGGGTGCAACTGCTCTGTTGGCCCTGCTGTTCAGTCTAGAAATTTTGAGGTGCGGCCACACTAGATCCATGTGGAGCCCACATCCTGTCCGGAGCAAGGCAGACTAATGCATAAGGAATATCATGGAATTAGCTCAGAAATAGCACCAAAGTTGCATTGATCCCTTTTTATTGTTTGGAAGCACCTTTAGCAGCCTTGGACCAATCAGCTCTGTGGCCTTTGCACCAGGGGGCATTTGGTGGAAAGCATTCTTCTGGCTGATGCCTCCGTCAGAGGTTGAGAATAGTCTGGATCAGCTATGAATTGCTTGGTTAATGCCCAAGTCTTTTTTTTTTTTTTTTGCACTAATGAGACAGTGAAAGAGAATGAGAAATACATTGCAAGGCTGGTGCTTGCTCTTTCCTGCATAATGGAGGAATTTTTCTGCAATGTAGAGATTGGTGAAAGTACAGGAGTGCAGAACTGTAATCCTGGTGGCCAAAGCCAGCTGCTCTGGGACTCCAGTCTGTCTCTCCAGGTGGCCATATACCTTCGCCCACACACCTTGTTGGGTGGTTTCCTGGCTTTTTGCACAGCAATTTCAAAAAGGTTGAGACCTTCAAGCGTCCATATTGGCCCAGTGTGGCCCTGGAGTGCTGTTCTGAACTGAAACGTGCCTCTTGAGGCTTAAAGGAGGTTCTGCACCCACCCCAGGTCTGTAGACAAAGGCCATCTCCTCTGAGCTTGTGTTTTCCATGCTTTGAGAGCAAAGATAACAGGGGTGGATCTGTATTAACTGTGAGGCCCCATGATCTGAGGCAGTGTGTCATCTCTGATCAGGAGAGGTGGTGGGTCGTTGCCATTAAGCATCCTCCAAACATCTGACTCTCAACTAAAGGGACCTTTTGATGCAGCAGGGCAGTTCCTAGAAGTGAAAGCGTTGCTCGTACCCGGCTGTCACATACATTTCCTGTCGTCTTCTGCCCAAGGTTACGCCTACCTTGTGTTTGAATCGGAGAAATCTGTGCGCGCTCTGCTCCAGAATTGCTCCCGTGACGTGCTGAGCCCCAGCGGCCTGAGTGAGTACTATTTCAAGATGTCCAGCCGCAGGATGCGCTGCAAGGAGGTGAGTAAACACGACCCAACATGGTCTTGAACACAAACCCAAAGGGGTGGCTGACAGTGGATTGCCTCATCCAGGACCTTGGTCTGGAAGCACTGGTGTGAGTGTGTGGTGGTGTGTGCAGGCTGCATCATGAAGGACAGGTTGACTTCTAGCTTATACAAGGGAGGAATGTTCAACAGGTTGTGTAGTCACTGGCTTCAGGCTTGCAGCTTCACCAGGAAGGGACAGGTAGCAATCCCTTATGAATGGTGCTTCTCCAAAGCCCTGTAGACAAAGGGGGATGATGAAAAAGACTTCCAGCAGCAGTACTAGGCAAGCTTCATACAGGGGGACAGATGCTGGCAGAAGCTGCTTCTGAGCCTGTCTTGCCAAAATCAGAGTCTGTCTCAACAATAACCCCTTGTTCTGAGGTTGCTGGATGAGCTGTGAATTCATGGGTTAGCTTCTGGCTCCCTGCCCAAGGACATTTCCTTGTATCTTAGCTGAGTCCATCCCCTGTGAATAACTAGGTGAAGATAACCAGGTTCCCTTTCTTTACTTCTTCCTTTTTTTAACCCAGAACAGTGTCTAAAACATTCTCCTGCTTTCTTAAATTTAAAGACTGTCCAGTTTCCTTCTGTGAGTGACCAGGAGCTAGTGTGTTTCACACTTCTGAGAAGAGCCGGAGTCTATAATTTCAAAAGAGGAAAATCCAACACGTTTTCCTTTCTGAAGCCCAGGGGCAGGTCTATCCTTGTGTCAAGATTTTTGGCAGAGCCAAAGCTTGAGACTTCTACTCCCCCTTTCAGCTTGAGAGTCTGAATGTACTGACAATGTGGCTTCAGTATCAACCCAACCTTTCTTGATAACGAGAACTGGAGATCCTGAAAGATTGCACATGTTGGTGGTCTTTTGGTGGCCTTATAAAGCTACTACAGTAATACAGAATTTGGAATTTTACTCATTTTACTTACTTTGCTTTTTGTGAATCTTAGCCAGGACATGCAGAGTACCTCTGTATTTAGCATCACTAGATAGTCCAGATAAGGTCCAGATAAGGAGAGCTTGCAGAGGAGTTTCTAGCGGCTAAGCCTTCCTATCTTGAATTTGCAACCTTGATTGGCTAGGAGGTCTTTTATGTGTGACTCGAGGACAAGAGTGCTGTGAAGAACAGGCTGTCGAGTCAGCTGTAGAGCCAGTTCACTTGACAGCCTCTGACTAGTCCCTGAGCAAGGCACAAGCCAAAAGGTATCCTGTGAGTTTGCGAAGGAGACGTCTCTGTTTACACACCCTTCAGCTGCAGTCCCCTGAGCAGAACTCAGGAGGGATTTAAGGAAAGTGCATAGTCTTCTGCAACTTCTCCATTGCATTCTTCATCTATTTTTCTTTTAATCTTAAATTACTAAAATTAAGGACAAGGGTGGGATGAGTGCTGCTGGATCAGCTATTCCTGAGAATATCTCAGTACCACAAATCTAATTTTATTTTATTTTATTTTTATTTTTATTTTTATTTTTATTTTATTTTTTATTTATTTATTTATTTATTTATTTATTACTTAAAACATTGCTATGCCGCCCCTTGCCGAAGCCTCGGGGCGGCTCACAGCACAGAATAAAATACAAATAAAATACAAAAATAACAATATAAAACCAACAATATAAAATAAATCACAATATAAAAGAAGTTGCCCTGGCCAGCTAAAACAAATATAAAATCTAAAACAATTTTAACCATTTCTACTTGCATGCTGTGATCATCCGAACAATTTAACTAATTGGTGGAGGCTGATCAATTCATTTGGTTGGGGCTGAAGACTCTTGGATTAGGGCTGTGATTTGTGTGTCTGTATACCACCCCACCCCACCTCTTTTACCCTACTGTAATTTGGACAAAAGTTGCATCACTTAGTGGTTGCAGAGTGTGTGTTGGCATACAACAGTGACTGCCAGTCCTGCTGTTCTCGGGTCATGTGTGATCATAGAATAGTAGAGTCGGATGGGGCCATGAAGGCCATCAAGTCCAACCTCCTGCTGTTGCAGGACACCACGTTACACCACCCCACTCAGATGGCTGTCCAGTTGTTGTTGTTTTTTAAGTATCTCTAGTGTGGGAGCTCCCACAACCTTTTTAGGCAACTGGTACCACTAACATCTTCAAGAGGGAAATGTGTTGGTTGAAGTGTGACAAAGATAAACATCCTGTAACTACAGTCATACTGAACTGGAATACAGTAGGGAACTTTGACTGAATAGAATGGAGAAGAGGGCCTAAGAGAACTGTTTCTCACACCTTTTCCATCTCCAGGATAAAAAGGAGTGGAGTTAGCTTTTAGAATAAATCTTGAGTGGTTGGGGGAATATATTAGGAACATATTACCTGGGATATAGAAACAAAAAACAAATAGCTGTACTGGTCCAGGAGAGGGAAAATCCAAAATCCACAGTTAGAGAGTGTCCTTATTAAGGTCCAACTCAAATTCCGCAAAACTGTGCAAGCTTCTGAGTCCTCCAGAGCTCTTCCTTCCCCCATCCTGGAAGACCTTGCATCCACAATATGAGGTCTGATTTTTGGACTCCTCTGTTTCCTTCCCCCGCCCATGCTTTTTATGCCACCTAGCCTGATGAAGCTTGCAGTTCTGTGAAATGTTACTTGTCTGAAAAAGATACTGTGCAACTGAGGATGTCACCTGGGCAGCTCAGATTACTTTAGCATATCATACAAAGGAAGGGCCATCCATAAGTGGTAGTAGCCCAGTGTCACACCTGCGATCTACTGCTTGAAAGGTCATTGTGGTTTGTTTGTTTATTAAATTTCTAACCCGTGCTATTAGCCATACGGCTCTCTGGGGGAGTTACAGCAGGAAAAAAAATACAAACTAAACTACCAATTGGTGATGGGTTTATAGTGGGAAGGCAGACATGAGGAATTGGCAGGGCAGCTTGGGTGGCTGCATCTGGCAGATGGGTCCTTAAGGGAATGGGGAGACCAGAAGGTGGCTTGTGGACGGCTTGAACAAGGCAGAGCTTTTTCTGGGGGGGCTGCAGGTGCAAGTGATCCCATGGGTCCTGGCAGACAGCAACTTCGTGCGCAGCCCGACTCAGAGACTTGATCCCGGCAAAACCGTCTTCGTGGGAGCTCTTCATGGGATGTTGAATGCCGAGGCCTTAGCAGGGATTCTCAACGACCTGTTTGGTGGCGTGGTATATGCAGGTATCGACACAGACAAGCACAAGTACCCTATTGGTAAGTGAGACCAGCCGCAACTTACACGATAGTGGGTGGGGAACCTTCGTCCTTCTTGTCTTGGTGGACTTTCCTGTGTAACAGTCTAGCTGGAGAAATGAGCAGGGCCGTGAACAGCTGGATCCCCATTTTCCATCCATTTTTAGTTATTCGTATGACAGTATTTATAAACCACATCACACTGAGTTACTGGAGTCATATACAACCACATAAAACACAAAATACAGAAATACATGGAAGAAAAATAGTTAAGTAAAACTGGCTGGCATTTACTGATCAGTAAGCCAGTGCTTACTTTAAAAGAGATGTCTTCAGCCAACCTCAAAAACAATGGAGCATTTTTAAAATCTCAATGGAAAGGGCTTTCTGTAGTGAGAGAGCCACCATACCGAGGGCCTTGTACCTGGTAGTTACCAGGTAGATCTTGCACCCATGTGGAGCCACCAAGAGTTGTTGTTGTTGTTGTTGTTGTTGTTGTTGTTATTATTATTATAACATTTCTATGCCGCCCCTTGCCGAAACCTCGGGGCGGCTTACAACATGATAAAATACATTGAAATACAATAGTACATAATAAATTACCATTAAATATAACAATACAAAAAATACATTGATTTACAAATACAAAATTAAAATTATCAGTATAAAATAAAAATATAGGAGGAGAAAGAGAAGGAAGAAGAAGTTGCCCAGGCCAGATCATATGTTTTAACAATTGTTGCATTATTTGGACTCTGGAGGGAGTGACTGGGTACTTACGCTCACTCCACCCGAACTTCTCTCTGGTTAGAATGTTCTCAGCGGGGACTTACACGCTTGCTTTTTGTCCCCGGACCTTCAGGACCTCAGGCCTGGGGTTCACATCTGGTCCTCTGGGGTGCCTCATATGGCCAGGTCCCTTTCCCACAATTGATTGTTTAATGGTGGGTTTGTGTGTGTTTTCTCCCATGCTACCATACAAAGATTCCTGTTCTAAGGCCTGGCTAATAGCGACATGAGATGGAGAATCTTGTCTTTCTGGTCCGGGTTGCCATTTTTTACCTGTAACTCCATTCTTCCATTAAGCTGAGACAGGCATCTAGCCAAATGCTGCTCTGAATGTGTGTTCGTCCATTCGTGTTCTCTCTCTCTCCCTCCCCCCCCCTTCCAGCTCCCCCTCCTCTCTCAGTACTGCAGGCCGTGTGTGCTTACTCAGCACATCTTGCTCTGGGTCACATGCAGTTGCTTCAGGCTAAGTACAGATTATTCCTTGGGCTGTATTTTATAATAACAGGCAGGTTTGATTTCAGGATCTGGCCGTGTCACCTTCAACAACCATCGCAGCTATCTGAAAGCGGTGAGCGCTGCATTTGTGGAGATCAAAACGACCAAGTTCACAAAAAAGGTAGGATCCATCAAACGAAGACACCGTCTTTCTAGTGTGTGTATTGGCAGAGATACCAAAGCCAGGCAGTGCTGTAGAGTCAAAACAGTGAGATGGTAATGCATCCAGGAATCCTTGAGGAAAGGGTTAGAGTCTGAGTCAGACTGCAGGTCCATTTAAGTCTCCCAACCCTAATTCTGAGCTGGAGATGTTGGAAATGGAGCATGAGATCTTTTCCAAGTAAAATAGATGCACTACCACTAAGCTATGTCTCCTTTGCCAGGATCTAACCTGGAGAAAACCCCTCTTCAGATCTCTTGTTGCATTTCTGCTTGGGTGGAGCAGTCGTACGAGATACCTGAGAGAGGGCCTCTCCCTGCATACACCTGCCCGGGAAGCTTCCTTCTGCACCTCACAGCTGGAAAGTGGTGTACATTAGGTGGAACTGAGAGACAGGGCCTTCTCAGCTGCAGCACCCAAGCTGTGAAATTCCCTCCCCTTCAAGGCCAGGCTGGTGCCAACACTGGCTGCATTGCGGGAGGGGGCAAGTGAAGTTGCTTTCCATTGTATCAGAGCATCACTCCATCTGGTACACTCTTGCTAACATTGACTGGCGATGGTTCTCGGGGTTTGAAGCAGGCGTCTTTCCAGCTCTACTTGGAGATACTGGGGCTTGAACCTGGGGGCTTCTGCATGCAAACCGGAGCCTTGCCTTAGCTACAGTCTTCCCTGTAAATCTGGCTGTTCACCCAAGTCTTAGGGGGCTACTGATGGCAGCTTGCTTTGATCCCCTCCTGAGAATTATTCCTGTGTCGCAAGCAGTGTTTCCAAGGCCCCTGTTAGCACCAGTGAAGCTTTTTAAAGCCTAAATGCAGCACTAATGGGGTGTTGCAACAGAAAAAATATTTCTGCTCAGTTGCTGGTGTTTTTCTCTTGGCCTGGCCAAAAGATGCAGAGCCTCGGGAAGAATTCCTGTGGGCCATGTGAATTACTTTAATGTGATTTCTAAGTATTGTTCTAATTAGTTCCCTTTATCACATGTGGTGTAGTGGTTAGAGCACTGAACTAGTTCCCACTTGACTGTTAAGCTTACTGGCTAATTTTGGGCCAGCCATTGACTCCGCCTAACCTACCTCATAGGGTGGTTTTTGTGAGGATAACATAAAAAGGAGTCCCATGTAAGCCACGTTGAGCTTCCTGCAAGAGGAAACAAGGCAGGATACAAATAACACTTGTTTAAAAATAGAATTAGTTTAAAATATAATGAGCATTTCTCAGACAGCGGGAGGAATGTCTCCTGACAGACACAAGCCCAGGAATGGGTTTGGGCTTGGAATTTTTTACGCTGTGAGTGAGGTGCTCAAACCGGATGGCATAGTTTGCTGCCTGTTGTCAACAGTGCCGTTCTGGTTTTAATGGCTGTGGCATTTTGCTGTGTGCCCTGAGATGGAGGCAGACGCTGTTTCTCTCCCTGTCAAACCTGCTGAGTGTTCAGCCAGCATACAAAAGCACTCCCAGGACAGGTGCTGTGCTGCAGAGGGCCAGACGGAAGAGCGCTGTGTTTGTGCTCGTTGTGTGCCAGGCTTGTGCCACCTGAGTGCAGCAGCGCTGCAGGATAGGATGGGAATTGCGTTGGAAGGCTGCTCTCCCATGTTCCACAGAGAGACCTTTCCTTAGCTCAGACATTAAATGCCCTAGTTCTCTTCTGTGGAAGAAGGGCACGCTTCTCTAATTGGGGGAGGGAAAGGGAGCAAAGTTTGTCCTAGTAAAGCTTCGGGGCTCGGATCTCCTTCTGCAGAAGCAAACAGCTCTTTCAGCTCTGGCTTTTATTGTCAGCTGCTGTGAGTGCTGGAGTGACAGGTGAGAAAGAAACTGGCTTTTATGTGTTCTGTTTGCCATGCATCCCCAAATGTCGTCTTCTCACCAGTAACCTTGCGATGTGGACGGCAGCCATTTCTCCTCCCTGCAGTCCTTGTGTCACTTAGCTTTCATTTCCTCCTCCCCTCCCCTCCCCTGGGCAGGTCCAGATTGATCCGTACCTAGAAGATGCCATGTGTCAAGTCTGCAGGTCTCAGCCGGGCCCTTTCTTCTGCAGAGACCAGGTAATGCTCTTGTTTCCTTGTGTTCATTCTGGTGGGCAAAATGACGTCCGTATTCCTTCTGTAGGTCGCCATGAAGATGGGAAGCCATTAGCGCTTGTGAAAGGGTGCACCAAACTCATATTTTTTGGCCTCTCTCCCCCTCCCCTTTTTCCTCCCTCCCTCCCTCCCCTTTTTCCTCCTCCCTGCTGGCTAGGTTTGCTTCAAGTACTTCTGTCGCTCCTGCTGGCATTGGAAACATTCCATGGATATCTTGAATCACCACCGCCCACTGATGCGCAACCAGAAGAATAGAGACACCAGCTAGAACAGTGGTGGGGGCACCAGAAGCTGCTGCAGTTTGCAGGGGAAGCTCTTCTGTTTACCTGCCACAGGAGGAGAGTCCAGGGCTGCTTGCCGGTGCCACACCCAGGCTGGGGGATGCCCGTCTTGAAGGACTAACGGGGAATCTTGCCTTCACGTTTGCACTTGCTGGTCTTTATTTGTTTCTGCACTTAATGCACAGTGAATTTTTGTCGGGGAGTTTGTTTGGGGGTTTTTGAGAGGGGAGGGCCCCTCAAACGATTCTGCAGTTCCCAGACTTTGGCCCCTTGTTGCTGACGAGAAGCATAAAGGGGCCGTGTGTTGAGAAGGTATTTAATGCGGATGCCTTCACTTCGGTTTCTTATTTATCAAGGGCCCTTTTTTACATTCCTTGCAATACTGATGGTAATAATGCAGGTCTCATTGGCTCCGTTTTTTTGCAGTCGCCATACAGTGCCTTTCCATTCATTTAACCCCCCCCCCATCTGAACGGAATAAACTGAATGTTCAGCTGGCGTTTTTTACTGTAACAACAAGGAGACTTTGTTCTTCACTTAAACCAAATCATATTTCATATTTTACGCTCCAGGATTTTTACCAGTTCCTTTTTACACTCTTGAAATGGTTTTTAAGTCGTTTGAGACTAGATTTTTTTCTTTCCTGGCAGCTTTTAACATCATTGCAATTTGTGTCTGGGAGCTGTTAGTTTAAAAAAAAAGTTTCCCAGTTGTGAATAGCAGTATTTGCAACCCAGAAGGATAGGATTTTTGGATTTTGAAACTGGACCGGATAAATGATTTTTGAGCTGCTGTATATAGTTTGTTGCACTTTAAGTTGCACTTAAGGGGGCTTGATAAAAGGTTTTTAATCACAAAGTCACAAGACTTCAATTTTCTTTTTATAACTGAGCTGATTAAAGGGCTACGCTTTGGAAGGGCAGGCAAAGGTTCCTAGGAGCCCTTTTCTGTTCAGAGGGGAAAGAAATACCCTTACGGGAGTTCCTGAGGAGCAGCGTAGCCCCAGATTGTGCCGGGAGTTGAAGTTTTGATTTTGTTTTATTTTTTCCCCTCTATTGGAAGCTGTGTGCCAAAGAACCAGTGTCATAAGTTCTCCCTTCTTTCTTGCTGAGCTGATGTTGCATATTCCAGCTGCTCTTTGTGGGGTTTTGTGAAGCAGTATGTGAAGTCTCTACCTCATTGTAGCGTATGCAGGCAAGACTGCACTCTCCTACAGATGCGTGGAGTAAGCTGTGATGTAGTTCTTGGCACATAATAAACACGTTGCAGCAGATTGCTGTCGCTTCTTTGTCTTCCAAGGACCGCGTGTCTTGTGTGTTGGGGAGTTTCACCAGGGGGCTCTGACTCTTCAGCCTGGATTTGCACAGAATACTAACCAGTGGTTTGCTTAACCCATAGTTGGCTGCCTTACCCAGTATTTGTGTGTCGGTTGGACAAACGGTGGATTCCCAATTCATTGATTATTTACTTAGCTGTTCTTTGCCGATCTGTTTGGTTTGCTGCAACAGACTAACGTACCTGCCCTTCTGGAAGGAATGGGGTACAATTAAATCTGCCTGAGAGAAGTGGGAAATACCCAAGCAAAGCTGAACAGTAGCAGACACTAAACCTGCCAACAGAAAGCTACTTGAGGGAGAGACTCCAACATGAATCTGCAGTCCGGCAAACCATTAGGAAATTTGATACTTGGGAACTTGGCCTGGATAGAGAGCTGGACCAGCTTACAGAGGACAGAGTGTCTGTCTCCCCTTGTGTACTTGCACGGTTCATCGTCCTGTGCCTTGCCGCCTCGACAGTGATGGCTAAGCAACTGGGTCATGTCTGTGCAGATAAGATCTTGTGTTCTGTTGCTATGCAGAGCCTCAGTAGACACACCTGTTGCTAGTAGATGGCCTTGCTTTGTGTCATAATAAACTTTCTTCATATACTCAAGGTGTAGATATAGCTTATGCATTTAAACAACCACGCTGAGCCTCTGGTGAAGTGGATTCTGGTCCATACAAGCTCTTGCTCGTGGGTTGTTAAGGTGCCAACAGTTCTTAAGCCATCAGAGGTACTGGCTCTGATCCAGCAGGGCTCTTCTTACGTTAAGACATACTTCTCAAGGGTGGTGGTAGTTTTTTACTATTTGGCAAGAACTGGAAATCCCTAGTTCTGGATGCTAGCACCAGGAAGGGGGGAGTCTCTTATTTCCATCACTGATGGGGCATCGCATTAGAGATCAACACGGGATTCCCTTCCTTTCCGAAGGCTAACATTCAGAAGGGTGGTAAGACATTTGGCCATGTTCTCCAACAATTAACCATACAGGATACTTGCCTTTTCATCTGGTTATTCTAAACTCTGCTTGAGGGAGAAGTAACACTTTTTAAAATTCTGCCCTCTCTTCTGATTGAATTTCCAGTTTCCAAGTGACCAGTGTGAACCCAGAGTCTCGTTTGTGACTTCCATATTGCAGCTCAGGAAATCTAGAGGAATTGCTGGGAAATTACACATGATACTTGACTTCTGCAAGCTTCACGGATAGAATTTGGGGCCAGATTTGCCTTCTGCTCTGGAAAGGAACACAATGCAGATCTGGCTTGCTCTCCGGAAGGAGTGCAATGCCTCAGACCAGGCATCCAAACTTGCTCCTCTGAATGTCTCCTGGAGGCCACTGCTGCTTCCCTCAACTGCAGTGTGGTGCTTTCTTGGCTGTTGAGCATTCTTCTCCCTCCTGAAAAGTTAAAATACCTCTCCTAAGGCTTGGGGACTCTTAAGAGGTTTAATGCAAAAGAGGCTTGTATGTTGAATATGTTGCTCACTAGAATGCCACTAATTTGGGCAACTTTAGAAGGGTGTTGCACAGATGGATGGAGAATGCTAATCCTGGTATAGGACTATTTCCTCCAGTTATTGGAGGCAGTGCCCCTGTTGCGCCAGGTGGTGGGAGGCTGGTGCAGCACCCAAGTCCTCTTTGTGGGTCCCCCAAGGCAGCTGGCTAGCATTGTGTGAACAGAAAGCTGGGCTTGGCAGGTTCTTGGTCTGAGCCAGAATGCTGGTTCTTCATGTTCTTGATGTAACTCTCAGTAGCTTCTCTGAAAAGGAATTTGGCCCTTGAGCTAAAAGAGGTTCTGGTTTCTCCCTGTTGAGTTTTGGTGGTGACAAACAGTTTAGGGGCCTCCTTTCTTAAGGGAAAGTGTTTAAATGTGCTGGGTTCACAAAGAAGCTCACCTTTCTCTCGCCACAGAAATGAACCCGATAGCTTACTGTAATCCAAAGTACATTTAGCTGAAGCATTCATGACTCCGTTTTCCCTCTTACCTCTTTTTCACATGCCTGTTTTAAATTGTACGTAGGGACCCAAACCATCTCTTAAAAACCTGGCCCACACCCCCTTTTTGCAGGCCTGAGTTTTTATGATGAAGTAGATTTGTGCGTTCTTGCAGGAAGGCAAGTTTTCTTCCCGAGGATGGATAATGAACAAAGAACAGCGCAGAGGCGAGAATGCTCCTATGGTAATGAGACCTGAGTTTTCAGGGTCCCTTTGGGAAGGGACTGCAGAGGAACTATAAAAGACACGCTGCATTTTGTGGCGATGGCTGCTGAATCTTCTTCGCCTTTGTCCCTGTCTTCTGGAAGCTTCATTCTGTACCAACCATGCCCGCCTTCCATCCGTTGCGTTGTTCCACATGGAGGGTGCTGTGCGTCCAATTTGGGGCATTCTGCTGCCTTGGAGGAAGTAAAATTCTGTCCCACATGTCATAAATTAAGTAGCACAACCATAGAGCATCGAAACAAAAACTTCCTTTTTGCTGAAATTGCCTAACACAGCCCTCCTTTTGGAAACGTCACATGGAAAGAGGATTGCTTTAATTCCAGAGTCCATAACAGTGTAATACCATTTAGACTAACCAAGGACTAAGACTTAGAATGATTGCAAATGGCAAGGAAGCAGTTTTTCCCCCTAAACCTTCAAGAGAAGCTTTCTAATGGTGCTTATGTCAGAAGAGACTGTCTCAGGTGAGGGAGGACCCGTCTTTGCTGGAGGTACTTTTGGAAAAAGCCTAGAAAGCAACCCTCCAAAGATGCTAAAGTTACAGGACTGTTGCACTGACCGAGCGGTTGGATGAGGTGACCTCCAAGATCCTGTTGAACTGGGTCTGTTCCTTTTTAGTCCATGTGTGCTGGGTTTGGGGATGGGGAAGAAGGGGACCCGGTGTATATTTCCCTTGGATTAGTACTAACCTATGACTATCAAAAGAGTCCTGTCAGATCAGACAGAAGACCAGCCGCCTTTTCTCCCCATGGCCAGACATGTTCCTGGGGAGCTTACATGTGAGCCATTTTAAGGCAAAAACTCCATCCTATTGTTCTGTAGCAACTGGATTTAACTTCCACACACTTGTCTAACTCCATTTTAACACCACCTGAGCTGTGCTTGTCATTGCATCTACCAATTACAACATTTTTGAAACCTAAATCTGATTTTGGTTGCAGGGTTTGGATGTAGATGACTACAGCCATGCTGAATAATTTAAATTTCAGCAGGTGAACCTGATACTCAGGTGAGCTTTGGTGTATAGCCAAAGAACTGGCATGTTAGCCAATGCGGCAGGATTTCAGGACTGGTCACCCTTCTTGGTTGATGTGAATCCAAAGGAAATCGAAGCATGTTTGCAAGAATGACATCCCAAGTGGAGAAATTCAGAGCATCAGTCCAAAGTATTTGAGATGAGTCTTGTACTGAGATGGGAGGTCTAGGTCCGTGGTCTGAGATGGTGTGTCCCAACCTAGCTGATGTGTTGGACTATAACTCCCATCCACAGCTGGCACAACAGACGTCTGTTGTCCATGGATGATTGGAGTTACAGTCAACACCATTGGAGGGTGCTAGGTTGGGAAACGCCTGATTCCCACCCAGATATCTCTGCCAGGACTTGCCCAGGGCAATAGAAGACACAAGTCAGATATTACCTTTCAATAAGGACCCGAACTCATGGCAGAGCACCTGATCTGCACCTGCAATTAGATTTCCCAGCATCTTGAATTAGGACTGAGAAAGATCCCTCTCTGGAATATTGGAGCACTCCACTTAGAGGTATGCCAATAATAATCATCATCGTCATTATCATATGTTAATAATAAATATCATTAATATTGAGCCAAGTAGACTGACAACCTGATTCAGTGGAAGGCACCATCCTACATTTCCATAAACGATACTGTATTGCTGCTAAGTCTTGTACAGGGGTCATTACCGTTTGAAGCATCAACTCGACCATTGGCAGGCGGAGGTTAGGACTCAGTGGTGCTGCTGGCTTCTCCCTCCACTGGGTCCCTTTAGCCGCTTGTCTTCTCTGCTATGAGCCAGTTACGGCAGCCTATGGAGAACGCACCGAGCATACCAGCCTCCTACCAGCAGCCAACAGGCACCTGCAGGAGAAATGGGACAAAGTGAGTTACCAGCAGCGCCGCAGAAAGGTAGGAATATAAGCTATGGGGGGTGTCGGGGTCCTTGTCGCAGGCAGCCTGTTGCATTGCCAACATAAGCAGGGGAGGGGGCACCTCCATTTGTCATTCATCAGAAAACCCCGTGCTCAAAAAGGACTGCAGGGGAGATGACTTGTGCATTGCTATGGTGGCTGTTGACCCACCCGAAGAAATAGGAGTTGATTAATCATGCAAGACGATTGATCAATGTGTTCTTTTAAAAGCCAAGACTGTTTAGTTGCCTTGGGAGGGTCAATTATGTGTCACCCAGTTCAATGGATCCACCAATTTGGACAACCTTAAAAATCGGACAAAAATCTGGATAAGGAGAAGGCCATCAGTGGTTACTAGTCCTCATGGCTGCATGCCGCCTCCAGCAACAGAAGCAGTGTGCTTATCTACATCAGTTGCTGGAGAACCTGGGTGTGCAAGTGTGCTTTTATTTGTCCCGCTTGTGGGTTTCCCATGAGCACAGCGTGAACTGAATGCTGGCCTGACCCACCGTGGTGCTTGCATTCTTACTTTCAGGTAAGTGAATGTAGGATTCCAGCTTATATGTTGTGACCCTAATCAGTGGATTATTCAATAAGTAGACAGGACTTACTGGATGCTGTGCTTTGTTTTATTTTGTTTTTATTGTAAACCATCCTGAGACTGTAGTAGTCGAATGGTATATGAAAACTTTAAATAAATACAAGCTTTAAATAAATATTCTTCCTCCCAAGTTTTCCTTTAGGATGTTTTAGTGTGGCTTAATAAGACTCGTGAGGGGGTCTCATTCCAGCACTGAACAGATCTAGGCCAGCTTAAGTTCGGCAATGCAATAGCACCTGTTCCCGGATCGTTCACAGGCATTGACACTG